CTAGACAAGATCATACAAAAGCAAAAACAAGCAGCTGTGTTAAAATAGTGGGATGAATGTGGTGGTCTGTCAGTCTGATCATCAACATATTATACTAGGCATTGGGGTTCCTTTTTATTTTGGGCTTGTTTTCATCAGAAAGAAGTTTTTTAATGCACCTATGCTGGCCATATTTTAAATAAATACGCAGCTCCCTTTAATAACAATTAAGATGCTGCTGAGGAAAGAAGGAAAGTGGGCTCTGAGGGTCAGGGTGTGGAAGAAGATTGGAGAAAAAAGCATCATGTGAATTCAGTGGACCAGAACACGAAGGTCAACCCTGTGAAACAAACTGAAGACAGAGTGTGGTTAGGTGCTAGTGAAATCAGTTTTTAAAGGAGCATTTTTACAGGGCGCCTCTCTTAACAAAGCCAATTAAAACTCTAGGAGCCCGGTTACATGGGCCACCCTGCTTGACCCTGTTGCGAGGTCTGCTTGCTGCAGACGCAGGCTGAGGCCCTCTGGGAACACCAGTCTCCAGGCTGGCTGCCCAGGGGTTGGTTCGGCCAATTGTACTTCCCTTCCGTTACCCCTAGGGTCTTCCTCTAGGAGAACTGAGTCCCTATCCATCCAATCTGCCCAGTAACTCATGGGCAGCCAGTCAAGCAAGCTGATCAGCATCACACAAACTGAGCCAGCTTCATGGGTGTCTAAGTGTTCACTTTTCAGCAGACAACTTCGGTGCTTTATAGAAGACGTCATTAGAGTGCCGACTCTAGTGCCAGCTGCTCCCTGTGGTCACAGACAGTCAGCGTTACCCACCTCTGCAATCCCACCAACTTTGGACACAGGAGGCAAACTGATAAAGAGGGGATATTGTCATGGGAGCAGACCCCAACACCCCCCATAAAGGCTCCAGGTATCTGAGCACCTCCACCAGCTATACCCCTTAGCCAAAACTCTGAAGACCCCAAGGAAGCCATTTAAAGGCTCCTACTGATGTTCTTTTCTGTCTCGTCCTTAGGGGGGGCATCTCCCACCCCATCCTCAGTTTTCAGAGACTCCAGGTGAACCTGCTGACCTCTAGGCACAGCTGATTCTCCCCGGCCATCAGAATCTGAGGGTCAGAATGGATCTTAAAGGCAATCAGATGCAAACTCCTTTGTCCAGTCAAGGAAACTAAAGCCCAGAGAGGTGGAGTGCATTGTTTAGAGCATGCACACAGCTTCTCCGGAGCTAGCAAATCAGTTCCTCTGGTCATCGGTCCCAGGCACTGCCCTGCACGCTGCCCTGTCCACCTTGTGCTCTGATCACGCAAAAGGTGAATCTGAAATTCTTCAGGGAAAATTCCTAAAGAAATATCTTTTCTTGTCCCTTCTGAAGTCCAATACATTTTTGATCAAATAACTCTGAGGGACCCATGGAAATTTCTACTCCAGGGCATCTCAGCTTCGTGACATCAGTGCCATTCAGCTTGAACACATGTCCCATCCGAACATGAGTGCCATGCTCCCCACCACCCTGTTTGTTTGCTGCACAGCTGAGTAGTCTGGCCCTTTAAAACCCAGTCCAGTTTAAATAAAAGTAATAGTCACATATTTCTAATAAGACCACAGTTGCCTGCTCCTTGGGACAAATCATATTATTTAAAATATTATAATTAAAAGCAAAGTAAGGCCCTGGCTGGCGTAGCTCAGTGGATTGAGCGTGGGCTGCGAACCAAAGCATCGCAGGTTTGATTCCCAGTCAGGGCACATGCCTGGGTTGCAGCCCACAGCCCCCAGCAACTGCACATTGATGTTTCTCTCTCTCTCTTTCTCCCTCCCTTCCCTCTCTAAAAATAAATAAATAAAATCTTTAAAAAATAAAATAAAAGCAAAGTAAGAAAACATTAGAGTTTATCATTCCCATCTCTGCAGTGATTCAACAGATTTCAGAGAATCCTGGCAAGGCATGGCTGCCTTCCTGCCTCTGTCTTCAGATGACACCCCCAACGCAGACTCAGCTCCTCCAAGCTGAAGGCCACTGCACTCGGGCAGTTGCCCAGTGAAAAAGCCAGGATGAGAGCGTGCGGTCTCTAAGCACTGAGGCTCCTGCCCAGGGCCCAACCCACAACAGAAACGATTGTTACTTTAATTCTACCAGAAAGACACTTTTATAAGAGAAATGCACTGAACCGCAGCAAGACGGTGTCACTGAAAATCAGGTCTAACTTTATGCTTGGTTCCTTAAAACTATGGCATGGCCTCTCAAGGGTATTAGCAGGTTCTACAATGGAATTCTTGTTGTCTGCCCCACCCAGAGGTCTTTGCACGTCACATCTCTTGGAAACGGCTTAGAAATGACTCCATTTGAGGTGGGGGGGGGAAGACTGAATAACTTTTTAATGATTTGTATAAACCTCTGTGCTTGATGCTTTAACATTGAACAAGGTTCTTAAACACTGGGCTTTCCAAAAAGCAAGACGGTCTAAAGAACACAACCCAGGGCTAAAATCCCCTGATTCGGAGGCAGGGGTGAGGGGTGTGAGGAGGAAATAAAACGTGACAAGATTCACCAAAGCTGAGTTTCACTTTGTAGCAGTGAACTTTGGCCCGCAGCCCTCACATTCTGACCTGAGACCTGATATGAATTCCTTCCAGTTTCCAATTAGCTAATTGAACTCAGTTGAGTAAATACTTTAACCTCTCAATTTTCGTTTTGTCTCAACCTCTCAAGGAGTCAAAAGGTATAGAAAGGGGATCTGGGTAAACTTGATAAATCATGGGGAGCATTAACATACAGTCGTCAGTGTGAGGGTGCAAGGCCTCCCACGGTCCAGGGAGGCCCAAGGCATTTCCATTTGGGGGAGCTCACAACATATTTCAACAGGCAAATACAATGTTAGAAAAGGGTCATGTGACTTGAACAAATTCATACTTATAAGCACAAAAGAAACTATACCATTGAATTCAAGACCTTTCACATGTATGGCGCCCGGATCAAAAGCAGCGCCCTGCCACAGCCACCCCACGATGGCGTCGCCCTCTTGAGCAGTGACACAGAGAACTTATAGCACAGTTGTCCCCTCCGAGTTACTTTCTTTTAAAATGCCTTGCAACACACTTTGGAAACATGGAAAAGAATTGTCTCCATTATATTTATCTTTTCAAATGTCATGACAGACTTCCAAATAACCCTCATGTCACGTTTCATCCCTGCGTTTAATATTTATCCACACAAGCCCTTAGCGATTGGTGGGGAAGGGACGTGACCCCGTAGGACTTCAGATTAAAATACGGAATTAGTGAGTTGTCTCAGAGTCTCAGAATTCCAGGTCTCAACAAGAGGACGAGTGGGGCCTCCTGAAAACTCCAAATGCAGCTCTTCATGCCACTCTTAAAACTTCTTGAGAGCCTTTTCTGATAGTATCGCTCATCCATGCAGTTCACCCTAATAACGTGACTTCATCTCTCCTCCTAGAAATCGACCCTTCCCTTGACCTCAGTTGAAGTAGCCCATAGCCACCCGTGGATCCCCAACTACCCGTTCATACCGTGAAAGGCTCTGCGTGCACACATCCTCACACCCGTGCCTACAGAATCAACTCCTGAATTGGACCTTTCAGCAGGAAGTTCTCAGAATCCAAACTTTCACTTTCTAACTGCTACCAAGGTAAGAAAAAAAAAAAACAGCCGAGACACCCGTGCACTGAGACTCACAGGCTCTTGCTCTCCGTCTTAAACAGACACATGTTCCCACAATCCTGGGAGCATACTGGATCTTGGTAAAGGTGGAAGGCAAAAACGTCACTTTCCCGACTTGGTGTTGTTATTCACCAACAAGATTAATTCTGCGCTGTTCCCAGATCCATCCACCCTGGGGCCAATATATTCCCCCCTGGTGTCCAACACAACCAAGAGAGTCCCTGACTTAGAAGGCATTTGGTGCTGTTGACGCACGTCTGCCCATGTGGTCATAGTAGCCCACTATAGAACAAACAGGGGCTTCACTTGTCACCTTAAGATATGGCCAAACTCTCGGCCAAAAAAATTTTTTCTGGACAAAGTCATTTTTAGGCATGCGGCTCTCCCCAATGTCCTTGCCTACCTGGGTTGCCTGACGACTTTCTCCAGTACGGATACGAATGCCCTTGTTTATTTCCAGCCTTGTTTTCTGACACCAGAATATACTAAAAACGACTCTGCCCTTCCCTTCAACTAAGTCAGGAAAATAACCAGCAGAAGACATCTCCAGAAAGTGAGAACACGAGGCCCCACAGCTATTGAGCCAACCAGTCCTTCCCCGAGGTGGCTATTTGGTTCAGAATTCAACCCAGAGAAATGGCTTTGAGACACAGACAGAGGAAAACCAGGGGCTTCTAAATTCACAGTGTCTGGAAAGCCAGACCAATGCAGGGAATTCACAGGTAACAGCCGAAGTAGCCTAACTGCCCGCCCTCCCTGCCAAATACAATTCTATTAAGACCCAGTGAGGTAAGCTCAGGTGAGGCGAGCTTACTTCCTGCCTGCTGCCTCCGGGAGTCTGCTTCAGTTTCAGCTGTCTGACTCACGTTAGACTTCTCTTTCCACTCAAGTGGTTGAACTCCAGGTTCAAAAGAAGTTTTAAAAAAGAAGAACTTACCTCATTTACTAAAGATTCTGGGTGGGAAATCCAATAGCTGTGGCTAATGGAGGGGAGGCAGCAGGCAGCCCTCACGCCAGCTCCTACGGGAAGGGGGAACCAGGGGTGCTATCGTGCCTGAGCCCTCATCGGAGTGAAGATAAATGCATATGACAATAATTTTAAATCATTTTGTAGGATGTTAAGCAATAAGCCACCAACCGGGAATTCCCTAAGTCACTTCCCCCTCTTCTGATTGGCTGCTGGGCCCTTTAAAAAAAATAAAATAAGGGATTACAAACATTGGCTCATTTGCATTTGGCCAACTCACACGTTAGTGTTCAAACAAAACAGGTCTAACCAGGTTATGCCTGTGTCTCAGGAACAGAGAGACAACCTGTTAATGGATGAGGAATTGATTTGGTGGTGACTGTTCTTTTCAGCTTAGAGGCTGTTTCAGGTGAAAAGCACCCGTATGGGTGTTCCCCAAACACACCATCAGGAAGGGAGACTGTAAAAGCCAAGGGAGCAGAAATTCACATCTGGAGGAGACAATAGTATAGGGGAGTAACATCTGTCCCGAGTACTAATCTATATTTAGTCCACTCTGTTTTGGCATCAAGATCTTTGCCCGGGCTGCGCAGGTGCCAGGCTCTGAAGGGGCTCCCCGCCAGGCGGCCCACAGACAACATAGCTTCTCTCATTGGGCACCACGATCGCCTCTTTGACAATGGCCTTTGGCAGTTTCAATGGACTTTGAAAAGCCAGCTCCCCTGGTCCCAGGTAAGAGACTCGGGAGGAAGTTTAATGGGAGGGTCCCAGAAGAGAGGATCCCCTCTGAGTCCCTGAGGTGCAACAGTCCTCTATCAACAATGCAGGGGCTGACTATCCAGTTGTCAGATTATCCAGGTTCTTTACTTCCTCTTGACACTTGCATTGTCTTTTTAACTCTGTGTATCGAACACTCCCTAGAAGAGCTAGAGAGAGGAAAAAACCAAGATGCTGAAACTGGGAATAAAATAACACAGTTTGGGCAAGAACCCCTGGAGAGGCTTTATGGATTTTAAATGCCCCCTGCAGTCCCCATCCCCTCGGGACAAAGGCCTGCTTCCCTGGGTCACCAGTGCACACCCACCCACACAGGTGAGGGACTGCTCCTGGCAAGGACTATTCCTCCCCTAACCATTAACTTTCTCTCAGGTCTTTCTGGCCACTAGCCTGGCATGAGCTAAGCGTCTGAGCAGATTCCTTTAATTTGTCAGGCTACCCCTCTGTGGGAGAGAAAAGAGAAATTGAGCTTTGGCAAAGAGACAAAGATGTTATGATTAAAACCAAGAAGTTCCTTGTGGGATAAAGAAAAGTCGGCATATGACCACAGGCTGAACGCGACGAAAAGTAAGCGGTGGTCGTGTTAAGGCGAGTGAGCAGTAGTAACGCTCCTCTCTTGTTTGCTTATTTTCCTAGTTTATGTAACATGATGCCAAGATTTCTGAAGGTGGAGAAGACTTGGTGGGAGGGCAGGCGTGGGTTTGGGAGGGTCCTGGAACCCAGGCAGATATGGGAGGGTTTAAAGGTTTGGGAGTACAATATCCGTAGGCTCTGAAAAGCCCCTCTGCCTCCTTACCTTCACTAAACATTCTCCACCATCCCCTCTCCTCAATGTGTATTTCCCAAGGGCCCTATAAAATGTAAATGCCTGATAAAAACAGTAAATGTCATTATTGCTCATTATCACATTAGCCCCAATTAGCCTATCAGCTCCAAGATCTGAGAGCAGGGCACTGAAGGAGCAGCCTGGTGACTTTTTTTTGCTTGTGTGATGCATCATGAGTAGCAACTGAAGTAGCAACTCCACCCACTCCAGGGTGTGTGTGTGTGTGTGTGTGTGTGTGTTGGGGAGGCTGGGTATTATTAGTGCCAGTGTGACTCCTTCCCAGTTTTGCCTGAGACGAGGGACAGCGGGGAAGTGGATGGGGTTGTGTGGTCAAGAGGGGGTGAACTTCAAAAGCAGCTCCAAAAGTGACGTCACTCTCTGGGCCAGTGCCAACCACCTTTAATTCTAAGTTCTTTATTTTCTAGCTGAAAAACTCCAGTTACATCTCCATTTCTTCATCCATCTTATCCTGCCCAGTTGAGGTCAGAGGACTGCTCCTTTAAGACACTGGAGAAGAGTCACGTTGGGATGGTGGAGATGAAAAGGGATGGAAAGCAGTCATCTCATACTCATAAGCCACTGTGTTTGTGCAGTGTTTATGTATATTAAGTACTTAAGAATGTGTCTGGTACTTAGTGGGTACCTACTATTGGTTATCTTCTTTGCCTGAGACTCAGTTGAACCTCCCAGAAGGAAAACAAAAACAACACCCCCACTTCCCAAAAACTAGCTTTTTAGACATGTTGCATGTATAAAGATATTCCTTTGCAAAGTGTCGCAGGTTCAATTCCCAGTCAGAGCACATGCCTGGGTTGCAGGCCACGGCCCCCAGCAACTGCACATTTATGTTTCTCTCTCTCTCTCTCTCTCTCTCTCTCTTTCTCCCTCCCTTCCCTCTCTAAAAATAAATAAATAAAATCTTAAAAAAAGAAATTCCTTTGGAGTTTACATGTATGAGGTCTTTTACCCTATGGTCAACTTCAACAAGATAGCATTTGCATCAGGATAAATGATAGATAGATAGATAGATAGATAGATCTGATATTTAACTGAGAATGCTAAAAGTTGAATTTGATGCCGAGGTCGTCAGTTGGAAGAATCTCAAATACTCAAGTATATAAAAGTAGAACCACAAAAACATTAAACATACCAGAACCTTTATATGAACACATTGTTTCCCAAAAGTCATAATCTTCTTGAGTGGGAATTTCCATAGGCAAGAGCCTCACTATCATGTCAGACTCCAAGTCTAGAATAGATTGCATTAGTTCTAAGAACCCAGGATTCTTGGAGACTGATAAAGACACAAGCAAAGAAGTCAAGTGATGAGACAAAGCTAATTGCCTGGGTTTTATGGACAGGAAGATTTCAGAGAGTGAAGCAAAGCAGCTAGCCCTTAGGTCAAGATCAAGATAACACTGGGAACTGGAATAAGCTCTACAGACACAAATACTCTGCATAGAAATCTTCCAGGTCTTTTCTACAGGTCAAGGCCCTATCACTGTCTCAGACGTGCGCCAAAGCACGTAGGACTTGATAGATCCCTGATGCTGGTTCCCACTAAGGAAAAAGGGGTGGAGCAACCCAGACTAGGTTGTGTGTGACAGCCTGAGGACTCTGTTTTGGTTGGATTATTTACTAGAAGATATACATCACAGGACCATAGAAGCCAAGGGACCTAAATTCCCAAATCAAAGCCAAGACAAAGAATCACTCTAAGCCAAGTATCAAGCCCTAAGGGGTCTGAGTCTTAATACCAACACAGGCTGTGGTTACAAGGTTAATGAGAGTTGTGTGCTTGCCTTGCAAGAAAGGGGATGCTTGCTTACTTTACACAGCACCTTTAAACTAGAAGCCCTATATTTATTTTTGAAAGCAAGTGTGTGCTTATATGTGTTTCTGTCTATCATTCCCTCCTGATGACATGGAGTTACCTCCAGGGCAGAACAAATATTTGGTGAGAGCCCCATAGGAATATTACTGTAAGACTGATGGGAGCAAGAATTTCTGTCTAGTGTCGGGGAGGGGATTACCTAGTGTAGAATATTATCATCCATCACCTTGGAGAGCACCAAATAAGGAATTAAAGTTAATAAACATAATCTTGTCTCTTACCCTACCCCCTACTAGAAGCCACATTTTCAAAAATCTTGATATTTTGGCTTCGAGTAGATTCCTGATGCCCTTTGAATCTTCTGAGGAGAAGCGTGGCACCTGAGTTTTGTTTGGGAGGCCGGACAGGGACAGCTGTCCTAACAGATGTGCATGGCATCCCCTGATGGAGTCTCTGCCGTCACATCTGTGCCTCCACGCTGAGCAAATCCTCTGCCAATGGCACATGCCACTGAATTGCTGGGTTGGGGGACAATCTTGGGGCTGGAGTGGGGAGGGCGGCTCGCTGTTTTTGGAAGGAATGACCCATTGCGCACACATGATCTTACTGTGTCCCCCAATCTTACCTACGTGCCAAAGATGAATTTTCTAAACTCTTCTTTCTATTTTACTTACTCTCAAGACACCTCCATTCATGCCTAACGTAACTCACCCCTGTGTTATTCCTTCTGCCTCACCTCTATCTTATTATTCTCTTTCTGGCCTTATCTTCCCTCACAAATAGCTGTGCACAGTGCCCTGACTTCATGCCAGCTTCACTGCCAACTTCATTTTGAATCAAACTGTTCGGGACTCTAAACAGTTTTTCCACCAGGTCCTCAGAAAGGCTCATTTCTCAGTCTCAGAGCAGCAGGCAGACTGGCCACTTCTGAGCAGCTTTCTTGCAGCCAGTATCTTCTTCTTTTTTGTGTAGGGAAGAGTATCTTACCATTGTAGCAGTTGGTTTGACACATTATTTTAGTGTAAAATGATCCCTGGGACCCCCCAACTATAGAACAGACTGCAGAGATGCTGCTACACAGGTGTCGGAGGGAGGCAGCTGCAGCCGTCAGAGACCGGCTGCCCTGCCCCTAGCCCACAGGCACCCTGCCTTTTCTGCCTCTTGTCTTTGAACTCTGTGTCCTTGCTCTAAGCCAGCGGGGCATCGAGATCACCTTTACAAGTTCAGATGCTTGAGTCCCTCCCCACACCCACCAAATTGGCACCTCCGGAGAGTGGGGTGATAGTAGAGACAGTAATCAATTTTGTGTCCATCACCATCCATTCAGATTGTGGACTCCCATATCACTCCGCCAAAAATAAACCGGAAGACCCAGTGCCTACCCTCCAAGGAGACGTCTTAAGGGAGCCGGCCTTGGGTGAGGGTCTCTTTCGCCCAGAGGCTGTGAGAGAGAGCAAACTCTCAGACCCAGCTAGAAAATGTATAAAATTACCATCCAAATGTCTAATTACTTAGGAGGAACTGTTGAATTGGAAGACTAGGGACACTCAGAACCTATTTCTTCATCCTAAAAAAGCAAGGGGGCTCAGCTATCTCAGAAGTAGAAAAAAACAGGTCTTAAAGCCAGACAGACCAAGACAACCCTTGTCACATTCGCTTAAAATTTAAGTCTCATTTCCCCCATCTTTCTATGAGGGATATAAATGTTCTCGGTGAGCTGTTTGGGAAGTTAAATGAGAAACTGTATAAAGTATTACCAGAGTGCCTGGTACTTGGTGGGCTCTCAGAAAATGCGTACCCCCGTCCTGTACGTATGGAGCTTGGGTCCCAAGAGCACCCCCTCAACAATGCGTGAAGTTACATATGGGTGATGAGATAACTCCACATTTCAAAATACAAAGGAGCAGGGGGTAAAACTAGAAAGTTCTAGGAAAAAGGAAGAATACTAATGACCATTCACATTTATTAAACTTGAACCATGTCCCAGTTATCAGACTCAGAATTGAACTTGCATCACCCCCATCAGAAAGCTACTGTTACTATTCTCACTTTACAGACGAGGAAACGGAGCCTCACTCATAAGCCTGAAGGAGTAACTTGGCCAAAGTCACACAGTCAAGCAAGTGGCCAGAGCCAGATCAAAGTGAGTGGCATGCCAAAAGAAGATTTCTCAACCACAACTCCCTTCAAAAAAAAGAGAAGCTTAACAATGTACTGAAATTTGGACTATAATGTCCTACACAGACATGGAAAACCAAGCTCAGTTCCAGAAGGCAATTAGAAATGTAAATGTTTCTTAGAAGACTCAGATTGTAAAGCTGAAAAAAAAAACCACTATGAAATAGGCAGACAGGTGTGTGGTGGGTCTTATAGAAAAGTCTTCAGCCCCTGCCCTTCAACACCAAATATTTAAAAAGTCAAATGATCAGATTCAAAATTGAGGGGAAACCCATTGGAAAAAGTTGTGACTTGGTCTTGGCCGGGAAGTCATGAAACTCTTTTGACACAAAGGTCAACCTGATACCCCCCAGGCCTGATGGCACAAGGCAGACTAAATACCACTGTGAGAAAACCCTTAGGCATCTGGTTCCAGAAACAGCAGAGGAATAGAGCAAAGAGTGGGAGCCGTGATGAAGGCTTTAATCATGAAGGTTGAGGGCAGCAGTGGAACCTAGTTGGGAGTGGAAGTTGCCCCCCACCAAACTGGTTTCTCTATCCCCATTTTTCACAAGCCATTGAGAGTGTCTTGGGGAAACACGAAATGATCATTGACCAGATTCTGCTCCTACATGCTCCCCAGAGAGAAATTAGGAATTCTGGACCCGATCGTGCCTCTGGAAAGCATGCATCCAGAAAGCTCCTGGAAACGATATCCAAGAGTTGACAAACACACCCCCTGGGACTATGCAAAAAAACTCATTTGCATAAATAAATTATCCATTCAGTCTATTCAAAACATGTGCACCTGTGCATCGGTGGAATGTCAAGAAAGAAGCCCTTGGAATTATTTCTGAATAATTGCACATTAGGGGAAATCCAGATGAAATCTCCCCACGTGTATCATGGCATGTGTATGATGTTTCTCCCCTTTCTCTCCCCCACCCCCACTCTAAGCAACCACATGTGAGTTCAGGGCACAGAATTAGTCATTCTGTCTTCCTGGACAAGGTCTGCATTCTGAACAGTCCCATTTTGAGACCTACTTTCTTTGATGACAGTGCCCCAGGAAAGTTTTATGAAGAGTCCTGATTTAGGGTTGGAGGTTAATAGCTCTGAAGTTTTGGGAACCAAAAATCACTGTGTAGGTGGGTGTATAGTAAAAGTGAAATAAGGAACTCCTCTGCAAACCCAACCTAAAATCTGCAAAGTAGGTTCATCTGAAAATTTCTGCAAGGACAGCCCTCCAATGAGAGGGACCAGCCACAGGGCACCCCTTCCTCACAGTGGAAACCAGAGGGCCTGGCACTCTGTTACGCTGGGAAGAATGGGATGTCGAGAGCAAGGGGCCAGAGCCTGACAAGGTGAATGTACAAGAAGGGCATGGTCAGCTCGCTGGGGACATTCTCCGTCAACACCGAAGTCTGACTTGAATGGACTGTTTTCCGTCCACCTAAACATTTCAAAGTCTTCCCAGGGTTTACAATTCTCCGATTCATCCCATTCGTGGTTCTCCTGGAGCTGCCAGGACCACTAGAGCAGAAAACTTCAGGGAGTCCAACCTTAGATCTCACAATTGTGTGTGGTTGTGGTGGAGGAGGGGAACGCTTGGCAAACTTTCGGAGATTTGCTAATCCATTTTCTTTCCAGCGTGGCAGGTCACCTTAACTTGGGACGCCAAATACACAGCTGGGAAAATGGGCATGTTAGGGGATGGGTCAGTGCTCTGTGAATCTGAGCCTTGGCTGGGGGTAACATTTGTCGAACAACCAGGTAAGATGAGCGTAGGAAACCACAGCACTGTGCAAACAGGAACACGATCACCAGGCAGCCAGACCCACCAAGGTCACTGCGGGGCCCACAGCCTTGCTCCAAGTGCTCTGTGCATTCTTCTCACT